ACTCACAGTTGGTTTTGATGGCCAGCTTAGTAGCCATTTTATTCGCATGAGGAGGAGCACTATTAAAGCCCGTTTTCCATGAGAATGGCACAATTTTAATTTTGCCAGCGGGGCACTAATAAAATTGTGCTTTCGAGGGGAATTTTCCATCTTGAGAAGTTATTATGAGATGCACTATTGTTTTTGATGGCCAATTTTCCATCTCGAGAAGGGCACAATTGTATTATTGCGAGAGGGGTATTATTAAAGTGCTTTTTAGGGGTAGTTTTCCATCTCGAGAAGATGCACAATCTTGTTGATGCGAGAGGGCTACTTGTGTTTTTGAGGAGCAGTTTTCCATTTGAGGAGACATTTTTATGTGTAGCGCGATCATATGCTTTCATACGTGTACTTTTTAAGAGGGACTCGAGGGGCTGGCCCACATTGATACGAGTACTTTAAACAGCGAAGCATTTTAATGTAAGCCTACTGTGCAATTATCCTTCGTTGTGCAATGTCTTTAATATTTTATGATGCTGAAAATGTTTAGAATAGGACTTAAACGGATGAGATACCTGTTTAGGTGGACAATGAAAGGTATTTCCATCAAAGACATGGCCCTCATTGAACTTTCCGACAATATTACTAATGCCCTTAGCAACAAACTGTGTGCTACTGGTGTTTTCATCGATCTCTCCCAAGCTTTTGACACTCTCGATCATTCTATTCTTCTTTCGAAACTCTATCACTATGGCATCAGGGGCACTCCACACCAATGGTTTGGTGACTTTCTCTCTAACATGTCCCAATATACTTCTATAATGAACTGTGATCCCGGTCGTCTTAACATCCAGCATTGTGTCCTCAAGGCTCTATCCCTGGGCCCCTTCTCTTTTTGCTTATATTAATGATCTTCACAATTCTTCATCTCGTCTTATCTTCACACTTTTCGCCGACGATACATCCATTCTATTCTAGCTCTGATGTTACCTTTTTGATAAACACTCTCAATTCCGAACTCAAGTTGATATCTTCGTGGTCTAAAGCCAATAAACTTTCTTTGAACCATAGTAAAACAAATTATAATTTTTTTCAGAAAGTCGGCTCGTCCTCATGATATCGACTTGTCTCAACTTGTAACTGACAATATTCCAATCAACAGGGTTTCTTCAGCCAAGTTTCTGGGTGTCATCATCGATCAAAACCTTTCCTGGACCGAACATATTTCTTCAATCACGAAAATCATCTCTCGAAACACCGGCGTTCTTTCTAAACTCCGTTTCTTTCTTCCAGCCACTTCTCCGATCTTACTTTATAACTCTCTTAATCTCCCGTATCTAATTACAGTAATATAATCTGGGCGCGTACCAGCAATAATAAACTGAACGCCTTGGCTGTCGCACAAAAAAAGGCCATTCGCATTTGCACTCTATGACATCCTCGGGACCACTCTGCACTTCTCTTTGCACACCTACGCACCCTCACACACGCTTACATAGGCATAGAAGTGGGGTACTTCGTTTGTTCTCGTGTACTAAAATTTTGCAACGTCGCACACATGCCAAAATGCTCTTATTTTAACCATAGTTAATTTCCTGGGCTGAAATTCGGACTTAATATCGCTTTCCTAAAACTCTTCCATTTGAGACGGATCAACCCACCGTGGAAATTCCTAGTTTTTGAGTAAAATCCACATATCTATTTCGTGAAAAAACTTGTGGGGTACCAAAACGGTACCCTGCAAGTCGGTGGGCAATCCTTGTGGGGTACCTCCCATTGTTCCGGTAACCGAAAAGGCAGTGTTTGTTCACGCACTCTCACTGACATCAACAAATTGCATGTACAAATTTACTAACAATCTTCTTCCTAGCACATTCTCCTCATACTTCACCTCAGTTTATAAAATTCATGATCATTCAATAAGATCCCGCAATAATCTGTTTGTTCCCTTCACCTGCACCTTGTATTCTATCAACACCCTTCGGTTTCACGGTCCTCGTTTATGGAATGCCATCCCCAATGACATAAGAACGGAGTCGTCCGTGGGTCGATTTAAGATCTCTTATAAATGAGTCCTCCTGTCCCATTATGTAACATAGTTGTATTTCTCTCCTTTATATCTCTCCTTAAGTCTTTTGTATTGTCTGTCTTGTCCGTGTGTCGTTATCATGTTGTTTTTCTGTTATTAGTGTTGTCTGTAAAGGCTGTTTCCTACAAGCCTCGGTTTACTTTAACAGCCCCATACTCCTTACTTTCTCTTGTACATATATTAAAATAAGTTTATCATTTCTTCAAAGCGCATTTTACTTTATTATTTTTGAGACAATTTATTGATTTTGTTATTTTGCTATTTACCAGTCTTTCTGTTATTTATGGATGTATTCTCTAAAGGAGTGTGGAATAAATGTCTTCTTGAATTGAATTGAATTGAATTGAATTGAATTGAATCGAATTGAATTGAATTGAATTAAATTGAATTAAATTGAAAACTGTATTACTACGGTATATAAATTGCATTACTATAGTTTACAAGAAAATATCGAGTTCTCTTTGTTCAAGACATTTTCATCAATTTCTTTGCAGATAAAAGTTTCATAATACAGCAGCATAGACCTACAGTTTTACCATCTTGTTAATTTGTGGTTCATTTGTTTTGACCTCCTTTTTGCAGACGATATTTACAGCGATAGATAATCTCAAATGTTACAGGTCGATTTGAAATTGTTCTAATTGTTTTCGGGCTGCAATTTGTAAAACTAAGACAACAGGGGTAAATCCAAGCCTGTAAACACTCGCATAAAAAAAACATGTGCTAATTAACCTGTGGATTTATGAGCAAAAAGTGTGTTAAACAATCTCATAACTTCAAGATAAATAGAACATGCTTGTGATTCAAATGCATCACTCATCTTGTACATATAATTTCAGTACTTTTAATATTGAAATTTTAAGGAAAATAATGTAGGATTACACGTTTGCAAAATGTAATACTATACGCGTGACACGGACAGCGCTCTCCAAATATTGTGCAGGTGATTCTATTATTAATGCATCAGGTGCGGGCCAGTAAATAGGCCCAACATTGCCTACGCCGGCCAAATCACGATTTGCATGCCCTCAAATTCTTCGGTATAAGAGAATTTGACGTTCATGAACTTGAAGGTTTGTTAAAACAAAAGAAAAATGAAACACGATCAAAAAATAACACCGAAAATGAAAGATGATGAAATAAGCTTTAATTTGATGTGTGTCTCGAACATCTTGGAGAGTTGTGAGTATTTTTCCCGAATTTTTGAAGTGGGAGCATTTACCATTGGGGTCTATGGAAGTTTATTTACTGGTCTGCTACCCTATGCAAGTTCAATAGGACGCGCGGAAAGAACAGCGCCCTCAAGCGATATAAAACCTATCTTTGTTCGGATCCTTGTGTTCGACCTGTGGCGTTTTGAGAAAATAATCTCATCACACAGCATTTTGAGTCGCGATGCCAAACGATTTTGACTGTGCGGTGTGGGCGGAAAAGTACATGCACTTTGTTATGTACAGACTAGGCAATCGGTCAGCTTTTTGATAGTGACACGTTGGGATTGTCGAGTTACATTTCTAGCTTTTTGTCAAGTTTTCTACGACAACATTTGCCACCTGCCGTCTTATATATTCCTTGATATACCCCGTGATTTTGTGGCTTGTGCTCGCTGAGGATTCCTGCTTTTGAACCCTGTTTCCATGTGCAGAGATCGCATACACAGCGTTCATCAGACCAGGGTGGGAGCAGTTTTCGTACCGCTGTGCTGTGCCTGAAGATTGGACTCGGAGTTCGGAAATTTAACGATATTAACAAAAAGTTGGTAAGTGGATATAGCTTGCATATTCAATTAAGTTATAACCTCCTCAGCATCTCTCTGCTATGGCGGCAATCGGTGATGGTGTGGTGACCAGCGATAGTATCCATCACCAAGTTTTGCACTTTCGTCTCCCTTACCAAAATTTCCAATTCATTCCAATTGGAAATCCAATTGGAACGAATTAGGTTTAATTGGTATTGAGTTGGTTTTAGTTGGTTTGAGTTGGAGTGCTCATTCCCAATTGGAAAAAACGTCATGGACCAACTCAATTCGTCTAAAAATCCAACTGATGTACCATAGTCTTAATTGGTGTTCAATTGGTTTCAGTTGGAAACTATTGGAATTGGGTTTTCCCAATTGGAATCCTATCTAACATTGTCATTCCCAATTGGAATTCCATTTAACGTTCCATTCCCAATTGGAATCCCGTCAAATCTTTTCATTTCCAATTGAAATCCAGTCCAATCGTTTCATTTCCAATTGGAATCCCGTCTATCATTTCATTTCCAATTGGAATCCAGTCCAATCGTTTCATTTCCAATTCAGGAATTCCATCTATCATTTCATTCCCCAATTGGAGTCCCGTCCAATCATTTCCTTTCAAATTGGAATCCCGTCTATCATACATTTCATTCCCAATTGGAATCCTGATCAGGCTTTCCAATATTCCCAATTGGAATCCTGTCCAATCGTTTCATTCAATGAGAGTGTGAATGCAAAATAAACTTCCATCTGCAATTTTGTTGCAAAAAAAAATCATTCAAAAGTGACAATTACATGTATACAGGAGGCCTACATAATATCATACATATGTTATATGTATACATGTACATGTACATGTACTTTATTTACCTCCATGTCTACACCCAGGCCTCGGCAGTAATTTTCAGAGCAATTCATTTGCCAGGATACCCCTCTAAAAGCTGCATGCAGCTAGGGCCAGCATGGGGCACAAACATCACCCATAGAGCTAGGACAAAGGCCACACAAGTCACATGCACAGAATCAAATTACATACTGTACATAGCGCTTGGGCCAGCATACCAGCATTGACCCCCTGCTGTGCTGTCTTGCCATCCGCTGGTAACCAGTCTCACCCAACCTGTGTTATACAAATGTATGCTCCATGCATGACATGCACACAACCTTACATACCAGTCAGTGCAGAAACTGCTTATGTGGCAATTAGAATTCTGTCAGTTGGATTACAGGATCGTGGTGCTTGGGCAGTTGGGCTTGCAAGTTCAAGAGAACCAAAGCTTGTACCTGTTGTAGTAGAACATGAACTTTAAGGCTGTATAATTGCCCAAATCATAAATGTTGGCAGGAAGGTGAATGCCTGTGGAATCTTTCAGGACTTAATTGCTGTTCATGCAAACACATTTGACGGAGATGGTTCCAGTTACTGTGTGTGCAGATTGTGTTCCTTCATACATGTCATACATACATGTACTAGCTGTGCTGTCATGGCTGTGGCTACAATTTAAAAGAATATTGGACATCATGGACATGAAGGCCTTGGACTTGGAGGATGAAAGTAGATGGTGAGTAGAGTTGACTTCATTAAAAACCAAGTGTTTAAATACCAATGTTGCAGAATAGAACACGTTGTACGCAAAACAGATTTCTCAAAGTTTCAAGAGAACATCAATTTTTTAAGAACTACACGTAACGTATTATTTTCTCAGCTAGAAAACTATTATTTGTCATTAAAATCATGTAAAAATAATGGCATTTAATTTAGAAAAATCTTTTTTCCCCCCATATATTCAGGACCTCCCTCCACCAGCAGACCATGGTGACAGCTAGCTGGCTATACTGTCATTGACTGTTAGCAATGACTTTCAACTGCAACTAGGGCTTCCAACGTCCAAATGGTGTACAGCCCTACGACTACGTGTACGAGACAATTTCGACATCCATCTGCTCAACAGATCTTGAAAGGCACATTTTACATGTAAACAGGTCACCTAGGGCTAATTCTACTGCCATGCCTATGTGCTGTTCGCTATATGGACCACGATTGGCCAAAACTGATAGATAATTGTTATGTTCCCGCTTTGGGCTCCCATTTTGCTGCAGTCGGCTGAAACTGGTCACAGACCCTTTCAAAATATAACTGTTCAACTTTTGACTTGAAACCGATCGAAATGCTTTTGTTTTGTCGGCTGGAATATCATCTACATCCACTGAGCTAAAACTTCATCAGGTTAGTTGTTCAGAAGCCGTCTTGCACATTTAGAGCACTTTTTTTGCTAATGCAGATGCACTAAACTGAATATGAATAGCTACTGCAATAAAAACACAAACTAAATGTAGTGATAATCATGAAAAAAGGCAACATTGTGTATTCCGCGGATCACTTTGTTTTAATTGTATTCCGTGTGGTTTTAATTTGATTGCAACTGCAGACTGTATGATGTGGTGATAGACAAAATAAAGTACTGGTTCAAATCAATCATATTGAATGTGTGAGTTATTTGTGTGACGAATTTAATATTTTCCAATTTTGTTTTCCAATTAGTTTTTTCCAATTGGTTTTTTTTCCAATTGGTTTTATTCCAATTGGTTTTGTTTCCAATTGGTTTTTTTTTTCCAATTGGGTTTTTTTTCCAATTGTTTTTTTTCCAATTGGTTTTTTTTCCAATTGGGTCCAATTGTTTTTGTTTTCCAATTGGGAAAATACCAATTGGTTCCAATTGAGGAGTGCCAAAACTCAATTGGTAAAATATCCAATCGGTTCCAATTGGAATTTTGAATGGTAATGAATTGGACATTTTGGTAAGGGCTGTAAACTTCCCGTTATGCCAATGCACACACCACAATGGGAAGTAAAATTATTCTCAATAAAATTGAACTACGGATATTAGCCTAAGGGCCCTGTCACACTTCTGCGTATCCTAATTCCTTCTGAGTTGCGCATTTTTTTCATACGCAGTCGTACGCCCGATACGCACCTCATTATGCATCTCTATCGTTTTGTGTAAGTTTTATGTACTCAGGCATACGCATGGTCAGCCAGTCCGCAGTGCACACGAAAGTGCTTCCTTTTCTTTGCAACGTATTCATAAATTCCCGTGCGTGACCTCGCCTTGCATATTTAATGAGCTGGAATAGCCTGTGGAATGTGGGAAAATACTCGGCTTTTTTGGCATGTATGATCACTTTGTTGATATGAAATCACAGATGAAGAGTGTATCTTTCAATCTGTTGAAGTTTGAATGAGATTTTGTATCGATTAAAATGAGAAATTTGGGGACGAATTTGGGTCAGGGCGCAAGGTTTTCGCCACAAACTACCGGCAGACTGAAACGGTACGACCGCCATCTTTGCACATTGATTTGTAGGCTTGTGATTGGTGGATGGCGAGTATTGCATATGCAATACATGATACCCGGATGTACTTGTAAACAAGCCGGCGCGGCCCAAATTTCAGACACAGATTTTGTTGTGCTTTATGCTATATGGTACATATGGTAATTTTTTTTTTCCATAAATGGAAATAAATGTTCTTGAATTGAATTAAATTGAAAATGATACATTTTCACAGAATGTTTTTTTTTTTGGCGATACATGAAATAAATTTTCTTGAATTGAATTTAGTTGAAAATGATACACCATTACTTGATTTACTGGATGGCTAGAATTGTGCAATGGAGGGTAGTTTGTGATTGAAATATTTTCAGATACTTTCCCTAGTAACAAAAAAGTAACAGCAACATTCCAAACAGACGCTGAATACATGAAACTTAAACATGTTTTATTTACTCTGTTTATATTATGCAAGCTGAAAAACTGCATAAAACATTGAGGTAGTTTAAATTAAACGTGACATTTACCATAAAAATATAAAGATTTACACATATATATAATATGATGTATTGGCACAATAAAAGTAAAAAATAATACTTGCATCGTGTAAGGCACCATCGATAGAAGTTCAGTTGTATATTTTTGGAAAAGTTTAAGTGCAAGAAAATGCATTGCGTAACAAAATACTTGAATGTATCAGAATAAATGGCACCTTAGAAAGACACTTTACCCAATGGCACATCTTAAAATATCAAAATGAGCAAATGTATTGGCAAGTTCATGTAGATTGACAAACATCAAATACTGCAGCACCCTAAACTTAAAAAAAAACCCAACCATTTAGCCTGAGCAGTGAATAACTGAATATGGTTTCTTTGACAATACAGAGAACCAATGATACCTTAATTACAGCACAATTAACATATCACTGACTATGACTACCACAATTTTTTTTTTACAACAATTAAACATGTTTTCCTTTGATGAAAAGATCATTAACGAGCTACAATGCACTGTTTCAAACCTTTTAACCATCAAATATCATATTTCAAAAATACCAAAGATGGTTTACTTGCTTGTTTTCAAATCATAAGCTGCCTGTGAACAATATTGCAACTACACAAATGTTTTCAAAAATATTATTTCTTTATTAAACCACGTGTTCCTTAGGAAAAAGGTATTGGCATTGATATACATGTGTTGTGGCAAACATTAACATAAATATGTTTCGTCTCGGCGACCGTACAAGCTTCTTCAGTTCCGGAGGAACAAACATTGCAGAGGAAGGGTAGAAACGGGCCTGGCCTTCCGTGACGTACATGAAGATAGCAGATTCCTGGACAATCTCTCAAGATGGGCTTGAAATATTTCACCAAAAAGAGAGTTGCCATCCCAATTTAAGTGCAGGCCATCTCTAGCAAAGTGCCAGTCCCGTAGCTCTTCACCAATGTCAAAGAATTGACAGTGCAGCTCGGCACAGACATTACCAAACTTGATGTTGTGGTAAAAACGTGAAACATCAAGAACGTCATTGTCCTTGCGGGGAAAGTATTGCACTGACTGCCAACTTCGATGTTGGAAAAACGTCATGCAATCCAGCAATCAGGTCACGAAGCTGTCAAATGTTGCCGTGCAAAAATCCCAAAGGCAGGTCATTGGTCCCAACATGGGCGGCAACAATATCGGGAGCATTTAGAAGTTGTCTCGGTGCTGTTGTAAAAACTTACTCAGACTGGATATTGTTGCTCCGCGACGAGTGATCACTTCGACCTCAACCAATGGAGACGAGACATTCTCGGCTAAAAATTTGCTCAAAGAATTTCCAATAATAAGTGCCTTTACTGCACGAGTGGGCTTAAAACTTGGTGTTGGTGGCCGTGGTGGTGGACGGCATGACCTACAGATGAAACAATAACAGAAAAAAAGGAAGGTACATGTTAGTGCATTGGCCTAACCTTTAAATTAATCATGTACACAAAAAATTGTCATGTCTGCCATTTTCATTAATACATGTAGGCCTAGGCCTACATGGTGTATAAATTTATAGTAATTATTAGTAGGCCTACCCTAGTAGGCCTAATACTTAGTATAACCATAACTGTCTTTCAAATTTTGCATGCATGATCATGTACTTGTGCATGTTCTCAAATCGTTAAATGTACCCGCTTATCTACAAAAATGGCCATAACTAGCCAATAAATCTGAAGGCTGAACAATAAAACACAAAAATTACATTTCCACTCCAGACAAATAATATTTTTTTCATGATGAAATGTATTAATTTTTAAAAATTATGTTGCATACATATGTACATGCATGACATGTGTAAACGTACACGTACATGTACATATGCACAGCGCATGCGCAAATGTGGAAACCCCTCTTTTTCTCTAATATTTTCTAGCTGAGTCAGGGCGCAGCAAATAAAATCACAACTCAAACCGTCTACAAAATCATACCTCGACTTACAAGTAAAAAAAACCAGCAAAAAACCTTCTAAAACTTTTATATAAATGTTTTATATCATTCGACTCGGAAAAACGTGCACCGTCTACTTACCACGCCATCTTGGAAGCCCACTGCTTCTTTTAGAACGTGTAGTTCGTTTCATGAGATCGGTCGAACTCCCGCAAAATCGTGGCCGATTCGTGACGTAGGCCGTGCAAAGAAACTTCGGGATTTGACCTCATTATCGCGTACACTGCGGACTGGCTGTGGTACGGCCCAGTACGCTGGATAGTTTTGGGCATGCACAAAACTACGCTGCGTACGCTGTTACGGAGGTCATAAGTTATAAATATGCAGCGCATCGGTCCCGCATCGGTCGAATGCGGTACGAGTACGCTATGTGTTCATGGGGGATGGGGATAAGCCGTTCATCATACGCGGTAATACGCTGACCTCATATATTGGACGTATACATGGCGTACTTGCAGCGCAGATACAACGCACGCTGAACGAACTCATATCGAATGCCGACGTATTGCACAAATTAGTGCCGCTCGTCCTGCGAGCGGGCAGCGCATTGTACTTATTCGTAACTTATAAGAAACGCACAGATAGCGAACTTGCGCACTGCATACGCAACTTATACGCATCTCATACGCAGTGGATGCGCTGAATTTGTTACTTTTTCGCTAGATGTGCGTCGCACATTAGTCAAAGTAATCAAACAATTTCGACGTTTTTGATCGTACGATCAACAGTGAAGTAAAATAATAATTAACTCCAGGAAGTGAAAACCCAATAATGTTTTCTCTTTTTGCCACTGGATAACCGCAAACCATGCTTATCTTTACCACATGCTGTCTGGTGTCAGTCGCCTGGCCCGGCCAATCACCCTTGTGTAAACAACACATTCTTTTTAATCCTTGCGTAAACAATTTACTCCTGACAACCAAGCATAATCTTCTTATTTAACCCGATAGAAATCCGATGGCCCTGGTGAAAAGTTACTGTTTTTTTCTCGGTCGGATATGAAGGTATCGGATTGTCTTACCCCATACTAAACAGACAGGAATTTTGATAGGGTGCCAAATTGAACAGTGACCTTGGTCTAAAAATGTATGTGGATAAAAATATAGTCCAAGACAAGACAGGAAATCAACACCATCATTGGTAAACCTCTGAGCTGGAACAAGAAAAGTATCATTAGCGGAAATGATTCATGCGCCAGTGATATCAAGTCGAGGATAAGCAAAGCATGATATGTTTTCCAGCAACTCAACACCATACGGAGTAGGCCTACACTGTAAAAAAGTTGGGCAAAATGGGTTGATAATTCGACCAGTGCTGGTCGAATTATCAACTGCCTATACTCTTGGGCAAGTTCTTCCCAATAGTTTGACAGTTTTTACCCAATTCAACCCAATATGAGGTAATTTCATAACAATGTTGGGTAAATTACATTGCCCAACAGTATTTTACCCAACGTTTTTACAGTGTAAAGTATATGAGACAATAAACAAAAGTTCAATCAGTCGCTCAAAGTTTGATGCTTACAGACGGAGCTGGTATGAGGACCCTCCTAAAGTTAGATGAAAACAGCCTGAATATCTTTGAAATGTCACGCCTGAGAAGAATCTTAGGTGTTAACAAGTCTAGACAAGCCTATATATAGTAAAGCTGGTCCGAGACCGATATGGT